TATACAGTCACTATATATATGCAATATCAGCCTTGTATGGGTACCTATAAGACATGATTTGGTTGGAAAACAACTGATTTACTGGAGAAACCACTTTCTTCTATTTATTTTATATTATCTGGGTAGGACTGGGTATACCCAATCCTCCTTGTATACAGGTCTACGTTCTTTTCCAATTACATAACTACTTCTCTTTCTGTCTACTATTCTTGTAGACCTATTCAGTATCACATTCAACCCCAATTTTGCTTGTTCAATTGTATTCTTGGAAACACTTGTAATCCCCCACGGTGCATGACGGATCTGATTGCGCTTGGATATGAGCCAATACACCCCCCTTCCGGGGTACAGATAAGCTGTTCATGTTTCTATCGTTTGCAAACCCATTAACAACCCCACATAGCCCCCCAATTCCCGCCATAGATTTACACCTGGGATACACAAAGCTCCCGGTATTGCCCGGGCAAAGCTTGCTGCTCATTAACTATTAACTGGAAAAATTCTTATGTACTATTCAAAATCGGGAATACTCATTTTATTTCGTATTTCGCAGGCCCATGCACAGCCATACATGACCCCCCTTCCGGCAATGAAATTGGATCCTGGACATACAGTGCTGACACACGGGCGATTCAGTTTGCTGTCGAGTAATCCGAGCCATCCCGATAATTTGCGGAAACTATCGAAAACGAGTATACCGTCACAAATGCCGAAGCTAGGCGGGGGCATTGATGTGGAAGGTGGCGCTAGCAGTGTATTGGGCAATAACAAGGTAGGGTGAGTGTATGTAGCAATTGATGTACGTGAACATGTATTTATGTATTTAAACAAGTATCCAAATATGTACTTGAGTAGGTTTTGACGCGGTCGTGCGAGTGAGTGAGTGTATAGGTCCGCACACGACTGAATGCGAAAGATGATGGTCATTACAGCCGGCATATATATATGTGTGTCACCTGTACTAGCATCTCGCAGTCAGGTATACGCTAGAAGACAGCATAGCATGTATTTGAACCCGTGCACACAAGTACAAGCATCTATGCACTATGCTTATACCAATGGATATGAACAGGAATATATGTCGAATACGGCGCAGCCTCCTATCGCAGATGATAGTTAGCTATGCGAAGGGAATCGGTCAAGCAGACCACATACCACGTGAAATCAATGGCCTGAGTGAACATTCATATATTTTCTCTACACACACACATGCATCTTTTCATATTGTCATATTCTCGATTTCATATACGAGTTGAAGATCCAACTACAACACAGCTTAGTCCTGACAGATGGCAGTGAGAAGTAACGAAGGGGATAGCTCGGTCATACTTGATACTATTGCACGTATTTCTATATGTACCTATCTACATGCACCTACTGACGTTTGTGTACATCATTTATATGCACACTACAACACAGATGAGTATTGCAGGTGATATCGAGCCTAACGAAGGGAACGGCATGACCAGACCTCATGCGACTCAGGCGCACGGCTCGGGCGAATACGCACTGGCGAGCATCATGAGATCCAGATTCTCCCGGAACAGCTATCGAAACGTACGGGCAGCAAGTACAACAGCAACATCAAGCGGAGGAGGTCGGCTTGTTATATATACACATACACACACACACACACAC